ACCTCTCACGAAGACTTAGTTCTTCCCCAGTAGGTCGCCCCGCCTATACTGGTCTCCGGCATTCACCTGACCCCGGGATCCTGGCTTCTGCCAGCGCCACTTGAGGACGGGCTTCGTAAACGTCCGCCTGCGGTGTCTCTCCGCGGGACTGTCACGCTTGAAGTGGTTCAGCTTCGCGCAGCCGAAGCAACGAATGTCGCGCTGTTCGGCAGACTCGAGTTCCATAAGAACTGGTCCGGTTGGGTTGGCCCGACCGGGATTCAATACAGAATTCTGCTGAGGCAGGCGTACCCGCCTGGCGATGGCTGTACTCTTCGTGAAGAGCCACTTGAATCGCCTCTTCGAGGGTGCTTGACGGCACCCGGAACAGCTGGGTGCGCGCCGGGCCCACTCGAAGGCCGTCCATGAACACTATCACCTTGATGTCAGTTGCCTACTAGGGACGCCGTGAGATCCCGCATCTCTTGGGCGTACTCGTGCAGCTCGCGTCGTTTTGCTTGCATGAGAGGAAGCGCGAGCGCTGCCGGTACTCGTAGCTCGCCGGGAGGAACGCGGCTCGACGCTGTTCGCGCAGCTGAGCCCAGGATAAGAAACATCCAGGCGATGTCGCCTCCCGCGTGTACGTCCAACACTTAGCACGACCACTAAGGTTGGAGAGCGCACAATCAACCCGGAGTTGCTCGGTCGAGATCAGAGCTGCGTCCATCGCGAGCCCTACATCTCGAGACCAGAAGTAAAGGTTCTTACCTTCCTTACCTTCATACGTCTTGACCTTCAGCCGTATTGACTTCGGGTGTGGCGGACTCGTTTCCGCCGTCGCAGCCTGCAGGTTTTCCCGCACATATTCGATGACCCGTCGCTCGTCAAAAGCATTGACAAAAAGCTGAAGCTGCTCGGCCGGTTTGGACGCCACCAAGAGCTGCAGGGTCTCCATTCCGAAGATGCCAGTCGTCTTCCGAACCTACTCGGACTGTAAGTTTTTCAGATGGGAGAAGCCGTTCCTATCCATGGCGACGAACTTCAGAGAGGTTCCGGTAGTCTACCCGCGTGGCGGGATTGAATACAAGGGCTACCAAGTGTGACGGGGTCACACAACACCTTGCGCTAGAGGAAGTCGGCTTCCGAGAGTATACAAACGCTTAGTGAACAGTAGTTCACAGGTCCGTTTTGTTGAAGGGAGCGCAGTGACCAGTTTAAAGTAGGGAGTAAGCTGAATATATTTATAGGTAGTCTAAGCTTGAGTTAAATATACAAAATATAAGTTACCTATAGTAAAGCTATGTCATCAGCCAATGGTTGACCTCTGACGACCCTGGTACCATGTACCAGGTATCTTGAAGTGTTGATATGTCACATTTCATGTAGCCAGGGGTACACTTGGGGCTACGTACCCCCTTACAGGCTGTCTCAAATATAACGTCTTAAAACACAGTATTATTTTTTACAATGGTCACAGATGTCCCTTCTGCATCTTGCGCCTCGGGACTGCGGCTGTCGCGACGTGCACAATTTGTAGTTCGAAGAACCATCATATGCCGTATTGGTTTTTCTCTGTAATCGAACAATATTTCTGGGTGATTTATGCTTTACCCAAAAAGGTTTTTGTTTTTCACAATCGAGCAACATGTTCAGAAGCTGCTTTTCGCTCTCTCGGAAATCGGAGCCTCGCTTGCTCCGTCGAAGCGTGGCGGCTGTTGATTACATTTGTGTTAATGCAAAGGGATGCCTAGTTAGGCTTCCAGTTTTGGGGCTGACGAATACTGCATCTAAGAATCGATGACGTTGGCGGTCACTGGCAGGTGGAACCCCGCTAACGTATTGTCGCTAAGATGTTATAGTCGTTCTTCTTCTTGTAGTGCGTGTATAGGTGGCTTAGACCATGCCGCAAGTTTTGCTGTTAGTACCACCGTTGCGATCAATCCATGACGCGTGGTCACTCGCAAGTCCAGCAAGTACGTTTGCTGGGGCTTATTAATTATTCCCTGAGTGGATTTCCAGTTCATTAATTATTCCCTGAGTGGATTTCCAGTCCGTGACGACCATGGCCTCGAGCGTTTCGCCTTGTACCTTGTATACCGTTGAACCGACTGCGCAAACGAACGGTAGTTGCTGCAGTCACACCGTGATGGATCGGGGCTGGCCGTTTGGCGCTGGTGCGAGTTTAATGGTCGTCTTGGAATACGCCTCGGTTGTAAAGAACACGGGAAACAATTCGGGGTCGATGCTTGGCCTGATTGGTCTTGCCTGTGGCCTCGGGACGCGGATCATGGCGTAGTCAGGTGACTGGCTTGGCCGTTGTACGACTGTGGCAGTTGCACCATCCCGATCGAGTTGAAACTGGGTCCCGGTGCGGAAATGGACGTACTTGAGCCCCCCGAGTGTGCCGTTCGCGATGCCCTTGGCGGTGGCGACGTTCTGGGTGACTTGAATCGGCATGCCGTCTATTAGATCAAGGTACGGTGCCATCCTGCCAAAGCGATTGTCTGGCAGGCTGAGCACGTATCGAAGGTCGCTCTGGCTCAAGTCGTTGAGCGCACCTTTGAAAATCGCGACTACACGGATGGGGTAGACGTTGCTTGGCAGCATCGACGCGGCCTTTGATACAAAAGAGTTGTTTATGGCCAAGCGAGTAGCATTTTCAGGAGTGACAAATACAACTGAGTCTCCAACTTCGTCTTCGAGCGATTGAGTAGTGTCATGCTCGGTGTTTTGGATAACGCGCGCGTTAATCATGTCTATAAATTCGGGAGTCCACCGCCCTAATCGAGCGTTTTGACAGCCTTCACCCCACTCAGGGTCGTTGCAGAAGCGCACGGACTCTTCGAGAATCACAACTGTGGTGATCTTCCGCCACAGCTCAAAGCCTTCAACGTCGGCTGGGCTTCGGCTTATTGATGGGGTTTACGTAAATGGCGTCCGCTTTCACTGGCGGCATCCGAAGAGAATCTCCAACCAGCACAACGTAAATACCGCCAAATGGGACATTCGCGACTTGCATGTAGCGGCGCAGGAGTTTGTCGAGTTTCAGCCATTCCGACTTGCTCATCATGAAGACCTCGTCGATGACGCGAATATCAAGTGGTGCAATTCGTTTCTCCTTGACAGCGTGCTGCAGTCAAATCAAGAAGTTCGCGAGCGTACGACCGCTGATGAGTGTGGCCGCTTTTCCAGTCAACGCCGTCTTCTCAATGCAATAACTGAGGTGCCAGCTCGAGCAGAACGCATGCACGGCGTCGATCACGCGGCTTTTGCCGGTGTCACCTGGGCCACCATGGAACATGAGCAGCTTGTCATCTAGTAGCCGGGACTCGAAGTCAGTGGCTCGGTATCATGCCAACCCATGAGTGTTGGCGAGTTCTTGCTGTTTGAAACGATGAAGGAGAGCCGCTGCTATGATCGAGAAGGCAACGTGCTGGCGTCGATTGAGCGTGAATGCTCTGGAGACATTGCCGATGGTTGAGTATGGGCATAGTGGTGGCCGGTCATGCTGCTGGATCGAAGGCAACCACTCACTATCCGACTCTAATGCGCGTTGTATGAGCTCAATCACATCGGCTGGGCGTTCGTTAGCCGGCTGCTCGGCCGTTGAAGATTCCTCATCATTAGTTGCAGGATCTTTCACCCATTGCTGTAGTTCGTTGACTGGAATGTCCACAACTTTTTCATGGTTCAACTGAATCGAGGTATCGACTGTATTCTACGCACTCGCAACCAATAGCTCTGGGTACATGGTACTGGAGGCAGTTGACCCAGACTTTGAGGTTGGAAAGACTGGAACACTCGACTTATTTGTATTGCTAGCAGCGTCGTCGTCAAATCGTCCAACAAAATCATCGACTCTAGTCGTTGCTGAAGGCAGGTCCTCACATATAAAGCTGTCAAGCTCTGCTTCGACATCATTGCGGGTACCGGTGAGTTCGTCACTGTCAGCTTCATGATCTTGCTCATCATGATTGCAGTCGTTGGCTTCTTTTGCTTGCAAAGTTGCGCGATAGTAGTCGTCCATGTTTGCCATGATTTCGCGGACAAAGCTCGTTCGAGTGGGCTCCCATTGTAAATACGCGTTGATCCATGATGTCTCACTGGTCGAGTCACTAAGCAAATACCGAATGTTGCGAAACGGTTTGAAGAGCACAAGCGCGCATTAGCTGCGCTTGGCGACAAGCTCGCGAGGAGTTTCGGAATCCAAGTACGGCATGCGCACACCGGTGACGATTGGAACGACCTCTGCTTTACGGCGTCCGACGCGAAATGAGCTATGTAGTGGGTGGCTAATCAAGAACAGCTCACGTGCTTGTGTTGGCCTCACTTGCTTTCGCCGGAAGTACCCCATTACGAACTCGTACAGACAGAGCGAGTCAAGCTCCGAAGGGCGAAATATATAGTCGTCTAGGAAAGAAGCTTATCGGAAAGTAACCCCAGCGCTGTGTACTTGTAGCTCAAATAAATCGCATGAGTGCGTGTCCTGTTCAATCAACTCCCTTGGCCCTTCTTTTAGAAGAAGCAATGCGCGTGGAGCACTCATGTAGGCGCACGCCCCACGCAGCAGATACAGTACAGCAAGCGGGCCAGCGATTTCGCGGCGATTGGTTATCGTAAACACCAAAGACGCAACGCGTCTGCGCCCAATATTAGAGCGATCGGCTTCATTGCTGTCGTTTTGGGTCTCTCGCAATTGTCGTCGTTAAATGCCGCCAACCCAACGGCAGTGATAGAATCGACCATACTTTGCATCTTGGTGACGTACTTAGTAGCGTAGAAGATGCGAATCAGTGCCTGAAGTCCGCCGATCATCACTTGAACGTCATGATTAGACTTGAAAGCTAGCATAATTACGGCATTGAAGCCATTTACGTACTCAAACGGTATTCGTCGAGCAAGCTCGACGCCAGAGCTAGTACAACACGTCTGCTCAACACGTGTTCGCGGAATCCATACCGACATTGTCCTGGTGACGATGCCCGACTTGATTTGAAACAACTGCCAACGTGAAACCACCAATGAAGATTAAGCAAGAAGACGAGAATGGATATCGCAAATGCGACAGCATTTGCCGCCCACCGCTCATCGTCGACCAATGGAGGCAACACCTCTACAGCACGAGCTACTTTGTCATTACGAAATGCATCGTCTTGGCGCTGCTCATGTCGATTTGGCGTCTCATTCAATGCTCGCAAGCGATCGCCATCAACATCATCACCATCGTTCATTGCCGACAAGATCATGTCTCGACGAAAGACCGCAGCTTTTGCGGCGGAAACACTTCCACGGCATTGGACTTCTGTTTGAATGGCTGATTCAAGCTCTTCTGCTGTGTATACTCGCATGGGTGGTGGCCAGGTCGATGGTCAATGCTGCAGGAGAACACGTCGCATCACGTGTTGAGAGCTCATCTTTGTAGCACATTGCGGGCATTGCACGAGCAGCGGCTCTGTCTGAGCACGGTATATGCAGCCACGTCGCGGTAGTACTCGTCGCCGTACTTGGACATCGCTTGACGGAATGCGTCAGTGTTGGGGGGGGGGGGCGCATTGACTAGCTAAACGAGGATATGGGCGTGCAGTGTGCCACCACCTTGCGTCTCAACCATGCCAAAGTAGGCCTCGACGTCACTAAAGAGTCCGTCAAATGCTTTGCTATTCATCTGCTTGGGAGCCACACCGAGTACATGTTCGATAAAGGCATCCATGTTGTTCATGAAGAGGCGAGCGGAAACCACGTCATTGCGCAACCTGCGCTGTTTAGTGCAGATTGCATGGGCAGGACAGCCAAGTTTGCGTCGAAGAGCACATCAACGGACGTGATGCCCGTATATTGGGCCATGACGAACGATTCGCCAACGTTTGGCGTCAAAGTAACGAATAGAGCTGGTTGATCGTATCGCGTATGGTAGGCAAATGCGCGACGACGGCACTGCGCTCGCTCGGCGTCGCTTCCCCAAATTACACCACCACTGAGCTCGACTGTATTGAGAAACTTGCTAGCGGTAGAGGAGATGTCGTCATTCGATGTCGTTCGACCTTGGCGGCGCAGCTCTTTCTGCTGGAGAGCTTCCATTAACGAGTCTTCGGTAATAGCACTGAAGGGTTCAAACAAGGCAGGATTGCGCTTGCATTTTAGTGCGACTTGTAGGTACATCTTTTGGACGGAGAGAAAATCATAACACACCTGCATGAAAAGCTTGTCTTCGGCAAACCTTCGCGTGCTCAACATACTGTAATGATGAATGCAGGCCTCTAACGATACTGGAGCGACCCGCTCCTTGTTCGGATGATCTCGGCCATACGGGAACAGGTGAGGGAACATACGAGCGAATAATGACTTATCGTTCACGACAAATCGGCTGGAGTGACGAACTAGAAACTGCGGTTGTGAGGAGCGCGAGCCGGTAGTTCCTCGACACGTACAGTTGCGCGTGAGGTGTCTTGCGTGCTGACCTCACGATCCTCAGAAATGAAGACTATTTGACGTTCAACAACGACAGTTTCTGCGTCAGAATTGTCGAACTCGGCGACTCCGCCTACACGATCGCTCTCCACGTCTACATCATCAGCGTCAATACTGGTATTATCCTCCTCACAAATCAAGCGCTCCGGTATGATTTCCACTACGAGATCAGAGCAGTCCACCACTATATCCTCGTAAATAAGATTGTGCTCGCGATAGAAAGCGAGCAAGTCTTCGACAACGCAACACCGGACGAGATGCATTTGCCGTATCCGAGCTTGCTGCTCTGTCGTTAATGGTCCAGCCAGAACCACACGGTACGCCGTGATGCCATGAGGTAACATTGGTAATAGCTTTGCTGCAGGACCGGGAGTTGAATCAAAGGCAAGGCAATGGGATCGGATACAGCGATGTGCTCCACCACGCATGACTCTCGTAACGGCGACAATTGATACCGTTCTGCGTCATTAGCCGCTCGGGAAGAGTAATATTCGCAAATCGATCAGGTAACAATCCGATATAAAAGCCGTTTTAATGGCAAATTTCGGGAGCGTTTGCTTCTCCAGACTTATGTGGCATTGCTCACAGACTTAAACGTACCCGGATGGGTGAGCACCGCGCCTGGAAATAAGAATGCCGCTTAGCTCCTCAAAAATCCCAGAGCAGTCGTACTCAGCAAGCAGTAATATCGCCAAACTATCGCTGGCGCTTGATAGCCGAGAGCGCATCCGGTGAATGCGACCAGAGTCCACAATTTCAATCATGTATTTTAATTTGCGCAGTTTGTTGCCGTCACACACAGCGCAAGTCGCCTTGTCCAGCCCGGATGGTCCCAGCTTCAATCTCAATTCATACAGCGCAGTGTTTTTGGTATCCCTGGACACGGGTTGGGGCCTTGGAATCTCGCCGTCTAGCCAACCATGTCTCGATTCACGAGCTGGTTCGTGGCTCTCGTCATCAGTACTCACAGCCGAATACACAAGCCGATGTCGTTCTCGATCGCGTTTCTGTCGTTCCTTCCGTGCGTCGTCAGTCTCACGTGATCGATGACGACGCACAGCCTTTCGATTGCGCTCACGCTGTTCGTCAATGCTAAGAACCATGGACACGAACAGTAGCCAGCAGACCACGTTGTGAATATGGCTAACACTGAAGCGACACACAGAAAAGCTGACAGCATGTTCCTTTTGTCGAGAATGCTCGGCAAAGCAGCACGACACCATGCGTGGGTTGGGAGCGAGCAGACTTCGTTAACATGTTCTTGAATAATGTCGAGTTCAATGTTCTCGTCGGACACTACACAAGGTTTCGTAGTGTAACGGGACTGCTAATTCCGCTTGATTGCGGATCGTTGCTCGCAGCGATGACCTCGTCCCTTGTAGCACCTACGGTCTTGTTCACAACGGACATCATTTGCGGTTTTCGCCGAGAGTGTTGTCGAACCTCTCCATATTATTTACGTTTTCGCTGTCAGTGCCCCACCTTTGCAGAACGATGCCACCAAAGCGACGCAAGAAAGACTCGACGGGCAAGCAAGTGGTGGATGACGCTGTCGTCCCTGTCGTCTCAGCCGATGGAGCACGAGGCTGTGCACACAAGAGCTGCGTCAATCAGTGATCAACTGTCTCCAGTGACGAGCTACCAGTCGCCATTGAAGAAGCTCAAGAAGACGATGCAGCGCCATGAGCGCAAGATCATCGACACGATCGACGGGAAGTCGTTATCATTGGGATGCAACAGGGATACTAGTACTAACGACGTTTTCATTAATGACAAACAGGTCTGCGGGAGTTCATCACACACAACGACGTAAGCAATCCAGTAGTGCGCGAATCATTTCGAATCAAAGCTCGACTGCTCTGGATCACAACTGATACTGTACACGATCTGCATTTCTTGCGACTTTACTTTGGCGAGCACCAAGCGCCTGAACCACTGCAACAGCAGCAGCAGGTACAAATCGTACTATACTTTGAGGCATGGCATGGGGCTATTAATAACGAAAGATTGCAGGCGTTTATGGAAGCACAGCGAGACGATCCATTTGAGACTAACCATTGCGGTATCGCTGCTAAACGTGGATCCAAACAATCCGGAGCTTCCTCGTCCAGATGCGGTCGTCTCAATTTCCCCAATGAAACTTCGTCTCTATCGCAACTGCCCACAACTTGACGCTAAACTCCATGGAATGACCACGATTACCCATACTCATGAGACCTTCACGGCTGCTCGACAAGATGCACAGCAACAATTGCCCACACGCATACCAATTTAATAGTTCGTTCCCGGTACCCAATCCTGCAGATGTACTGCTTAGCTCTCTGCAAGGGCTGGCATAATATGGACAAGGTTGAAGTTGTGTGGTGTATATTCATTTGACTTTCTTGTATTGTGAATCTTTAGTTATGTTTAGGATGCAGGGTTGGCCGCCAGCTCAGTCAACAAGTGTCGCTCAGGCCGGTTCCTAACGGGATCACGACGGAGCATGATCCAGTTAGGGTTAAGTGTACGTGCAGATCATGATTAATTCACTCTTAACGGGATCGTGACCCTTCGGGTCACGAAGCACAGACGTTTTGCTTCAGCAACACAAACCGGTGTGCTCGAGGTCTCTCGTTTAGCATGGAGTCCGCCGTCTCGACGGTCGCAGATGCCTCCACTAGTAGTGGAGCTTGTGTGAGCACACACTGGACTGCTGTACAGAAGGCAGGCAGCAAGCGCACAGTTCCTCCGCCCTCGTCGGACGACTACAGCACTTGGACGGTAGATCAACTAAAGTTAGAGTGTACCGCGCGTAAGCTTTCTGTGGCGAAGAATACGAACAAGGCCGATCGAGTTACTATCCTTCAGGGGTACGATGAGTCCCAGAATGCCATGGAGCTGCTACTGGACCGTCAGCGGCAGGCCAAACGTGGTAGGGGGCCTTCTGCAGAGACCACTCAACGCAGAAGCAAGCACTGTTTGTATCGCCTGCTCAACGTACTCTTCTCTGAAGATTTTTTCGAGAAATTTATCACATCTGGTGACGCACTTACACGGCGTGAGCTAGATGAGGGTGGTCGGGAGTTCTGGGAGCAGGTGGCCGAAGCTTTCAGTACATTTAACGATGACTTCGACCGTCTTGTGTCTCCAGACTCGTTGTTTGAGGGTATTGAACCGCAGTTAATTACAGCTCATTCCGGTGCAAAACTTAAGTCTATGTGGAAGGAATGTAATTCGCGTTTCGCCGCAGCCGAAGGAAGATGCAAATTATCAGGTTCACATGACGAATTTTGGCAATTTTGCCAAGGAGATAAAGTAGCCATGTACGTTCACCTGTGGTGTGAAGAACGCGGTTCAGGTCGGGAATTTTGTGCTACTTGTATTTACGAGGATAACGAAGATGACGAATCAAAAGAGCGGGGGCCAAGTGAAAAGAAGCAGTAAGTGAATAGGAAGCGGCAAAAACAAGATGATCAACGAAAGAGTCTCGATTCCGTTTCCATTCTCACTGAAGCTGTTAACAAACTCGTCGAGATTGAAGTATCGAGTGCAAAAGGAGCATTAATTGAGGAGAAAACCGCTGTTGCACGTCTTCAACGCGAGAAGATATAGAGAGATGTATTGGTGGAGAAAATAGCCGCTGTGGATGGAATTTTAGCTCGTCGCCGTCAAGCATTGCACGATCTCGACATACGCATCTATGAAAACGGACTTAAAGGGATGGACGTCGCTGATCTAGAGCGTGAACGTGAGTCTGCATTTCGGCGCGTTCAGACTGCGCAGGAGAAATCGGACGAGCTTCAAGATCACATAATGAGGGACTAACGGATCAATGAATATTTGTTTTTACCTTAATATCCCGATTGGTTTTTATTTACTTAAAGGCCTTGCTAAATTGTATCTCTGAATGTGCTCTAAAACCACTTTGCGAAAGATATGACCGTTTACAACCTGCATATTATCTTTACCCGTGTCGTCAGCTACTGTGGGCAAATAGCTGCAGTTTTCCATTGCGTTAAATTCTCTTGACGCGGCATTGCTTGGTCCTCCACTTTCCGGTTGAGAAATGCGCTCGTTTATGCAGTAATTATGTAATTTCATACAACTTTTGATAACGAGCCCTGCATGTACATAGTTCACTGCCAGTGGCCTCTTAAATATTTGCCACTTATTAACCAGGAGACCGAAGGACATTTCAATTCGAATGCATAGTTAGGATACATAAAAATTGTAGTCGGAATAATCTCTGGTTTTGATCTCCGGTTTCGTAAAGAGCACCAGCACGGATGATGACAATGGGTACGCGTTGTCACCGATGACATAATACCCAAAGGGTAAATTGGAGATAGCAGTGTGCAATGGCCACTTTTTAAAAGCAACACTATCCGAAACCTTTCCTGGTGAGTTAAAACAATAACCGGTAAATCTGCACGCTACGTCACACATGGCCTGCACATTTATACCGTAGCACAAGTAGTGACCCGAAAAGAAAGCTGATACGTCGGGGACTTCATTTGCACTTGGAGCTTTTATAGTGCACAACCACCCATCCACACAACCAACACAACCCGTAAGAATGTTGTATGTACTGATATCTGCAAATTGTGATGCTGCTCGAGTAATAGATTCCATGTCGTAAACAGGAGCCGTAATTTGATATCTAGGGTCATCACATATTGCATTCATCACTTCAATAACAGCAGAATAAAATTCAGAGGTGCTAACACCGGCCAGAGCTCGAATTGCATGATAAGAACCTCCAGCGAGCCATGATATAGTCATTTGTACCTTGTTTACTGGCGTTACAGGTCCGATACCAGTTCTGTTCCGTGACTTCAATTGATCGCGTTCTAAGACAGGCTTTAGAGATTCAACGAGCCGCTCGAATGCTATAACATTCATTCTATAATAACGATCGAATTGTCCTTCTTGCACTAGTCGATCTCGATGCGGCTCCCACTCCAAACGTTTGCGTGAAACAACGTTCGATCTACGTCGACGACGTAATTCGCTCACAGCAACTACAACGGCGAGACAGACCACAACGCGAGATACTTTCATTGTCTTTCTCTTGAATGGTGCCCGTGACCCTGATCCCAAAGCGAGTGATGATCCCAATTTGGGATCATCGATTGTAACTAAAAATAAACATATGTATTTTTTAGCCAATCAGGTATCGAGTTTGTAGATCATGATCCGATGATGATCCCGTTAGGAACCGGCCTCATTAGTCAAACTTGAAACTTGTAACGGGGTACGTAGCCCTAAGTGTATCCTGGTTACATGAAGTGTGACACTTCACACTTCAGGAGTA